AATAATATTCCCGATGCTCACAGAGGAAGAGACGTGATTTGTGAACTTAGTTCAGTGTCGCTGAGTTCTGCCTTCCCAGCAGGAGAGAGAAGATCTAAGCAGTAATCATCAGAAGAGGGGCCCATCTCATTCGGGAGCAAGCACATGCATACATGGCAGCACATACTCAAAAGCTGGCTTTTGCAGTAAGCACTACCGCATTTCGGGAAGGAGAAAGAAAAGATGAATCGTTACCTTATGCCTGTACTTTAGAATAAATTCTGGGTAGGGCACATTTCAAATGGAGACCAAATGCTAGTATGTCCAGGGGCTGCTTCAGAATTTTTATATAACTGGGACCCAGGGACAACAAGCTACTTGGAAGGAAGAGATAAGGAATTTGTTTTGAAGTTCTATTTGTCAAGTAAATACACTCATTTTACTTAGAGTGTACCGGCAAAGTGTTTTTAAAAGATACCTTTGTTTATATTCTATATGATTTTTCTCCACTTACCTAGTTCTGTGTTTATGTTGGCCAGGAGAGGAAACCAGTAGAAGTTCTTGGGGTTCTAAGGCATCTCACCCTTGGTGCTGCCACTGCTGTAAAGCGCTCAGCATCTTTTTAAGGTGCCACGAGTAATAATAAGGCTTCGGTTAGAAACAAATTCTACTCCAGTCTCACTCACCAGGAAGACTCTCCTTTTCTTAGTTTGGCTTCATATATATACTCCTGGCCACTTCTCGCTAATTGCATCTTATTATATCCAGTAATGCTCTCATCAGTTTCCCTCTTTTATATTTTTCATCCAACAGCTCTCAATCAGCAATTCCTTTGAGCGTTAGTGTGCAGTTTCATAGAGACTCGATTGACCCTCGAACCACATGGGTTTGAACTGTGCAGGTCATGTTTTATGTGGGTCATCATATATTGATCCCATGGGCAGGGGTCCCCCTAGGATACTGAGGGACGACTGTAGTTATGACTTTCTCAGGAATCTCAGAAGATAAATCCTGTTTGAAAACGTGCAAGAGTCTAGTCGCTATGAAGCGAAGCTGGTAACTTTGAGAGTTAACTTCTGCTTTCTGGGGCACCTTTGATCAGGTTGCTTTTGAAAGATGCTTCGACTCAACAATGCCTTTGCTGAAGTGCAGGATAATTTTCACTTTTGACACAACCTCAGAGAAGCCAAGGTCAAGGACAGAGCTATGTAGTCTTTGTACCACACCTCGTAGTGATGGCGACTGTGATTACAGCCCAGCCTCCCTGAGTCCAGGGTCTCCGCCAGGAGATGCTTTCACTGACGGAAAGCAGGTGTCAGAGCACAGGGAGAAGGGACAGGAAAAGAGAGCCCTGAGGAACTTCAGAAAATTGTAGGTCTGGCTTGATCACTAAGCATGTCATTGGCAGAGGTAGTTCCTATTATGAAGTAACTCTATAGTCGTCTTTTTTTCCCTATACAATAAATCTTAAAGAGAGTTCCAAAAGAAAGTGGTTTCAGAGTGTGTCCTGCCATGAAATTCCTGTCATTTCTGACAACATAAATGAACTTGAAGTCCGACGGCATTGTGAGCTTACATCCTTTGTATATTTATATAACCTTCCCTCCCCCCAAAAAAGAAGAATAGAACCTTCTTTTTCTAGAACATTCTTTCTGAAATGTCATAATGGTGTAGCTTGTTAGGGTAATTTTCATCCATTTTGCTGAGCCCTTGATTCGAGAGAAGGATCTCTCATCTGGAAACTCGTTCTTGTGCTCTGAGAAATTTTATTAAATTACTTTGGGTTTTTTGTTGTTGTTTCTTTGGGAATTCTTATTATTTGGGTATTGTATCTCTCATCGCTTTTCTCCTATTGTCCTATTTTTCATTATATTTTCTGAGATATTTTCTCAAATTTATCTTCCTAGTTTTCTATTACTGCTATGCTTTTAAATTCCGGAAAGTTCTTTTTTATGTTGCTTAGTGCTTCCTCCTTAGTGCCTATTCTTGCTTTATAAATGTTATCTTCTTTTCTATCTCTAAGAATATAAATGATAGGTTTGGGTTGTTTCCTATTATGACTGTGGACTTTTCTTCTCTCTATGCTGTTTCTTTCTTCTGAGTTCCTTTTTAAAATTTTTTGAAGTCTTTTATGTTAAAGATGTGTTATGATCCTTGACTGCCTGCTCACACTTAAGAGCAAGCTAATACGAATCTCCATGCCTGTGGGTGGGTCTCACCGCCTGTGGACTTTACTATAAAGTTTTCTGGCCAGATTGTTGCCCTGGGGGAAGACCCAGATGGCTGCATTGCTGGATCTTTTCTCTTGGTCCGGTCAAATCCCTCAGAGAGACTCTTGCCCAGAGAGTGAAGCCCCAGCTCCCACTGTTCTGAGACCCCACTTGGGAAGAAAACTAGGGAAGTGGTAGTTTGTAATATCAGGTTTGTGGATTTTCAGACCTCTGGTTTTCTTTACGGGAGCCTTGCCACTGATAAGACTTTGTGTTACCCAGGCTAAATTTTGTCCTCATCTCCAAAGGATAAATGTTTCATCATCTACCAGAATTGAGAAGGGACAATCATTCTGCTGCATGGAGTGAGGCAGGGGATCTGGAGTCTAAGTGCTTTAATTTTCAATGATTTTTGCAATATTCAAAGCACATGGAATTATGTTTTAAAAAAAAGTTATCGTATATACCCGTACACCCACTACCAAACTTTAGAAAGAACCCTCAATGAACAGTTAAATGTTCTCCAGGCACCTTTACAGTGTTACTTCCTCTGTCCTTTGCTTTCCTGTTTATTTTCAGTAAGTGTATACACCTAAACATCATGTAATATTTTGCATGTAGTTAAACAGGCGAGTTTTTTACTTTCACCATTGAGTCTCTGTGAGATGACTCATACTTGATTGGGTGATCTCTTCAGCAAAGACGTACATTAGAAGAAAAGTTTCTGTGTGGCCATCAGCCTGCTTTCTTCTGTAGCAAACCATCTTGTTACCTGAGATTACCTACCGGTGATGCTGCAGGTTCCACACTCGTGTTGTTTTTCTGAACCAGTTTGTCGCCTGCTGGCTTTTGCTAGCATTCCAGGCCTCTAGCCTTCCTTTGGTCCACCCTGCTCCTTTAATGTCTAGAGAATTTAGAGATCAGTCATTTTCCTTCCATGCCCGTTCCAGAAGGAGCATGTAGGAGAATTCTAGAAACTTCACTCTATGGACCATGCCTTCATTTTCTATATAAACAGTGGCTCAGAGGTGGCACTGCCTCTGAGGGCCCCATAGGAGACACCGTTGACAACATTGCAGAGCCCTATTGGGATTAGTAGAGTCGCAGATGGGGCTTGAGCACGCATGGCCATAAATGCCCGGAATTGTCTGTCACGTTGGTCTAGAATGCAGCAGTTCCTGGGCACCATACTTTTAGCACCCAGAGAAAATGCTAATCTTTTATCTGCTTTATGTAGGCTCTTTAATTAGATACTTCGGCAAAGTCTTTGCCAATTTGTAACATCCTTGGTACACAGAAAACTGGTTTCCTGAATTTAATTCCTTTTTCCATTTTGACATTCCTTCCATTTTAGGTGTCTGGTAATGTATAACTGTTTTGGCCTGCATCTCCCAGAGTTTCAAAGGTTTTCATTTATTTTTTGTTTTTATTTTTTATCAGTATTTTATTTGATATTTTATATCAAAACTATAACATAGAGAAAATGTCTTAACTGCCGTGAAATAGGAGCACACCAAAAAAATTATCCTGGGTGTCATTAACCAAAGGGAATTACTGTTACTATTTGTGTGCTTTTTTCCAAGTTATTTTTTCTTCTTTACTATGATGAAAGAAACAAAATTGGCATGCTAAATTTAAAAGATTCGTTTTGTGATTATAATGTTATTATGTCTTCACTATAGAAAATTTGGAAAATACGGAAATATATAAGAAATTTAAACCCAGAATCTGAATATTCAGACATAACCACTTTAAAACTTTATGCGTTTGTATTTCCTTAAGGTGTTATTTTTTATTTTTCATCACAAAAGTATTAAAGGCTCATTTGAAAAATATAGATACATAGGGCACAAATAATTAGGATTCCTTTTGCAGCCTGATCTTTCCCCAAAATAAGGTTCCTCAAGGTTTAGCTTCTTTAAAGTTGTTTGTGTATTTTCCCACACCTCCCATGCATTACACTATTTATAACATTTATATGAAGCACACATTTCCTAAGATCCAGAGATTAGGCAAACTAAAATAAATAGGTGTATACACCAACCTTTAAATTTTCTTACTTAAATCAAACTATAACACAGATACTATTCCACAACTTACTTTTTAAATTAGGTCATTTGCACTGAGCACATCTTTTAACTAAGTGAGTATGATCTATCTTATTCTATCTAATGACCTTCTGGGATTGATATGCAATAATTTATGTAAAAATTTCTCAAATGACAGACACTTAACTTTGTTTCCAGTTTTTATACTATTATACTCAACACTGCCGTGTGTATCTTTATATACATAAAGCATTTTGCATATGTGAGCAAAATGTCTTTTTAGTCAGATAGATTCCTAGAAGTAAAATTATTCAATCAAAGGATATATGAATATTTATCCAATTAGTGGAAGTCCAATTATTTTCCAAAAAGGCAGTATAAATTTTACCAAAAATATATAAACATGCCTGTTTCTCCACACCCTCACCAATACTGAATATTGTCAGCCTTTATATGTTTTGCCAATCTGAGCAATCCAAATTACTAATTATTACTTTAATGTATATTTCCTTGAGTATAAACACTCATCCAAACCTGATTTTTTGCAAGCAGACAGGCTATTTGCTGCTGGATGGCTGGCAATCTATGTAGAAAAACTACATTCCCCAGCATGCACTGCTTCCAGGGCTTGTCCTATTCCTACTTTTGTCTACAGCAGGTTAATGCATTACTCTCATGCCCATATCCATCTCAGAATTAGAGGATAAGGTACAAGAGACCTTCATCAGACCACTCATATTGCAATCGCAGTCATTTTCTGAGCATGGTAGTTGGAATGGATGTAGGAAAAAGCACTGATGGTGGCAAAGCTGATGCTTTACATTGTCTACCTGAGAAAGCAGAAGCTAGTTTCAGAGTTGCTTTGAATCTTGCATTTCGGATCTCAGGAGTACATGGTGAAGACGCTGAGGTGATTGCGAGTAGTAGCATCTGGGTATCTATATCCACAGTTGCAGGTTTGCATGGTTTCCAAATAACAAAGCACAAATGGGTACTAGTTGTGCTTTTGGACCCAGTTGTACCAGTGATTATTTCTCCCAGATTCTGTACTTGGCCCTTTGTCTGTGTTGCACTTCTCTGAATTTTCACTGTTTTGGTGTCTTCATCATAATCACTGTATGAATTCGAAAAGGCCGTGTCATGAGTATGAACCAGACACTATTTTAAATCAGAAGTTTCTGGATTGCCTCTGGGTGAAATATTTTCTATAATTTCATTCTATTTAAACATAAGCTTATAAAACGTTGGAAAAGGTAACAAAAGGAAATACAATAGTAGATGTTTAAGTCTTGCCGTTACACGCTATCCTGAGGATTCTGACAGCGGATATCAGGGGATCCACCGCAGCTTTAAATATTGAACGATGGGATTTGTGCCAATGGAGCATATGGTTTTAAATGAACAATGAATATTCTATTATCTCGTGTTTGATGCCTGGGAGGAAAGTGGATTTGTGAAGATCTGGTGCAGCTGAGCCTCCATCAGAGACAGCCCCTTTCATCATTGATATCTAAGGTCTAAAGATGGATTGAGGGACTCGTTTGAAGAAGTCAGACGAGGGAGAGGTTGTTAATGAGTTACAGTTGTGCCCCACGATGGCACCAGCAGCTGCTATGATCAGATACATTTTGAGTGACTTGCTAGTGTCCCTAATGATCCGAGTTGCCTGAATTTTCCAGCACTGGTTGCGTGGTGACTTCACCCCTGTCCTTGGAGAGGTCTCCGTTGGTTTATCTCCCTCTGGTATCTCCTGGTGTTTTTTTTTTTTTTTTTTTTTTTTTTTGGGGGTACGCGGGCCTCTCACTGTTGCGGCCTCTCCCGTTGCGGAGCACAGGCTCCGGACGCGCAGGCTCAGCGGCCATGGCTCACGGGCCCAGCCGCTCCGCGGCATGTGGGATCTTCCCGGACCGGGGCACGAACCCGCCTCCCCTGCATCGGCAGGCGGACTCCCAACCACTGCGCCACCAGGGAAGCCCTCCTGGTGGGTTATTAACATGGGACCATATCTCCTTCCCTCCAGGCCTCAGAGGTTCGCTTTTCTCCTTTATGTGTTTGCCAAAAGCAAAGGTAACTAAAAGAACGTTGTATCAGGAGGCATTTTATTTGTTTGTTTGTTTACTGTCGCACTGCACGGCATGCGGGACCTTAGTTCCTCGACCAGGGATCGAACCTGTGGAAGCGTCGAGTCCTAACCACTGGACTGCTGGGGAATTCCCAGGAGGCATATCATTAATACTTAGTAAAAATAAGTCCCTGGCTTATGGCAGCCTCAGTTGACAGTCAGGGGCTTTTTCCTATTTATTCATTTCTCTTCGGAAGGGAGAACTCAGAGGCCACTAGGCTGGTGGTGAGGAGAACAGAAGGCTGCGTTTCATGACTTTAGTGATTACATTTCTGTTGTTTGGATTGGCTTTAAAATGCTTGTAGAATTTCAAGGCCCCTGGCCACCAGCTCAGTGATGGTCTAAACACGTGATAGAAACTGCTCTCTGATCACCCACAAGCAAACCCGGTATGAAGGGTCAGCTATCACTGGGCTTCAAGCTGCAAGGAGAGTCCCGGGTTGACTGTTTCCATGGCCACAGGGATTGGCACACTGCGTGGCAGTCGGTCACGAGGAAGGAGGTCTCTAAGGCACTGCTTCTCAGATTTGAAGGTGCACACAAGTCCCCTGGGAATCATGTTAAAATGTGGGTTCAGATTCTGTAGCTCTTGGTGAGGCCTGGGATTCTGCAGTACTCACCAGTACTCACCAGCTCACGGGTGCTGCTAATACTGTGGGTCCACATCCCACACTTCGAATATACGAAGTCTTGGGTTCTAAATCTTTTAATTAAAGCTGAAGATAAAAACACAACCTCCGTTGGTTTGTGATCCCTTGGGTCGTACATCTTGTACCAACCATCCACTCCCATGCGCTTACCTGGACCTACGTGAACAGGAGTTGAATTTCTGCAGCGACCAAAAGGTGATTCCCGTTTCTCTGATAATCCCTTTATTCCTCATGAGTATGCAAAGTAAACCTGCTACAGTTAAAGTTGAGCTTTAATAAATGAGCTGAAAATATGTTCAGCCTTTTACTATTTGAAACATAGTTCACATTTTGCTGAACTACAAGTGCAGGACTTGGGAACATTTGTTAAGGAAGGTAATGCTGAGGAAATAGTTTTACGGTTTCCAATCTGTTAACCTCCCTGTCAGCACTCAGTTCAGCCCTTGCCTCCAGCCGGGGGTCACTGCCATCAGAGCACCCTGGCGCCTCTCTGCTTGGGGTCCTCGCGCTGCACCAGGACCAGCTCTGCATCCCTTTCATCCCTGGGTCCACATGCTTCCCAGAGCAACTGGCACCCGTGCTCAATGCATGTTAGTGAAAAAAATTCCCATTGGAATAAAAATATAAAGTAAATTACGGCATTGTCACCCTGGTGGAATAAAATGTACCTGGGGAAATTGTGGTTGCAACAACTCTAACAACATGAAAATTTTATATTATGTTAAGTGAAACAAACTGGATGTAACCATGCACTTTTGTGTGTTTACAATTTTTAATATACACAAATAATAGACAAATAACAGAGAGGAACGTGGGAAAGAGAACTGTAAGCTAGTCAAGATGTAGATTATAGATGATTTAACTTCCTCTTAAAAAGTATTCCTTTCTTATGAAACAGTTTCCAACAAATTATAGGGAAAAAGAAACCACAAGAGTAATATTTTACTATTATTAGACATTATTTGTGCTTCCTTCCACATATTTAATTGCAAAAGTCCACTCTACCTAAGACTCCTTTTAGAGATATTAAACAGGTTTTGAAAACATTTCATTAACTATAAGAGTGAATAAATTTTTATAGATTATGTTAATGCTCTCATTTTTCTTGTAAACTTTATAGCATTCCCTAAAGTTTGATGAAACGTACAAGGCCCTTAAGGAAGAGCTCATGTCCTCACCCAGACACTCAGTAAAAAAGCTGTTGGGAATTCCCTTTCTCAAATGAGGTGCCGCAAAACTCCCACATCTTTCAGTCCAATTCGGTAGTCTGTTCCCCAGTGCCCTCCTTTTCTTTTGGCCTCTGTACTACCTAAGTTTTTGGGGGTTTTTTCTAATTTATTTTTTAACACCTTTATTGGAATACAATTGCTTTACAATGTTCTGTTAGTTTCTGCTGTATAACAAAGTGAATCAGCTATACGTATACATATATCCCCATATCCCCTCCCTCTTGCGTCTCCCTCCCACCCTCCCTAGCCCACCCCTCTAGGTGGTCACAAAGCACCGAGCTGATCTCCCTGTGCTATGCAGCTGCTTCCCACTAGCAACCTATTTTACATTTGGTAGTGTATATATGTCCATGCCACTCTCTCACTTCGTCCCAGCTTACCCTTGCCCGTCCCCTTGTTCTCAAGTCCATTCTCTACGTCTGCGTCTCTATTCCTGTCCTGCCCCTAGGTTCCTCAGGACCTTTTTTTTTTTTTTTTTTTTGTAAATTTATTTCATTTTTGGCTGCATTGGGTCTTCCCCGCTGCACGTGAGCTCTCTCCAGCCGTGGCGAGCCTCACTACAAATAACTCAATTTTGTTTCTTTTTATGGCTGAGTAATATTCCATTGTATATATGTGCCACATCTTCTTTATCCATTCATCTGTCGATGGACACTTAGGTTACTTCCATGTCCTGGCTGTTGTAAATAGAGCTGCAATGAACATTGTGGTACTTATCTCTTTTTGAATTATGGTTTTCTCAGGGTAAAACCCAGGAATATCATGTGTTTGTTTTCATCTTGCATAAAATCTAGCCTCAGTAACAGGTATGTCCCTTCTTCTTTCTGCCTACAACCTTTAAGTTTGAAAATAATGTTACTAGGTAAAACCAGCTAGCAGCTGATACGGTCACTTTAAACTTTTGCATTTTCACCTGAGAAGGAAAAATTTTGTTCAGAAATTTGACAACATGAGTCTGTGTTGAAACAGTTTGAGTGATGATGAACAAATCCTCTTTTCGTTAGACTAACCTGTTGATTCCTTTCCTTTATCCAGATGGACCCTCTTCTTGTCTCTTTCTCCAAGTTTTCCCCTACCAGTTTCTATCTCTATCTCGTTATGTGTGACTCTTTCTTCTCCCTTAAATTGATCTGTACTTCTAGATAAATGTCTTTAAATTAATTTAATTCAAATATTTGAGAGATTATATTTACATGTACAAATGCATACATACACTCACATCTGCACGTTTACCTTGTGTCATCCTCATGTTTCTAGAAGTGCAGCATTCATGAGAAGAGTCTCCTTTTGCTCACCTTGTACCTCTGGAGCCTACCATGCCACTTAATATGTTTTCATTGAAAGAATGAATATATGAATTGAAGCAGGAGCAAATGCTATTAGTAGTGAGGTAGGAGCTAGTGTGGGAAACCAACAAGTTACTAGAAACTCTTACGATTATAGTTTGCATGTCCACATTCATTGCCCTTTTCTCGTATCTCCAATCATGTCACTTTTGTTGATAAATATTTCTCATTCTCCTGTGATTCACTATTTGCTGTCAATCTATGGCCTTTAAAAGGTGTTTACCCTTTCACTTTCGTACCAATTCCCCCTTTTCCTCTGAAAAATGTGGATAACACTCAAGAAGCTGTAATTCCATCTCCTCCCTGAACTAGGACAGCACTTGGTTTTCACCTCTCTTACATCATTCATCTCATTCTGCTCCATCATTTAGGAACTTGACTTGTGACTCCTACTAGGTTCTAAAGCCCATTTAAGAAAACAATGATTTCCCTCCTTTTCTATTTTAATCTCTGGCATCGCCTAAATTGGTTCCTGGAACATCACTGACATTGGCCGAATTGAATTTAGAATTTGAGACATTCTGTACAGTTCCTTTAAACAATGTTTATCAAGAGATGGAGAGCAGAGGGCTTTCCTGGTGGCACAG